CTAATTATTACAATTATTTACATAATTAAAATTACGTGTAAATATAGATGATTCTTGTCGCCTGTGAAATCGATGAGAAGTAATCTGTAAGACGGATGTAGTGAAAATTAGATAATACGATTCATAAACAAGTTACGCAAGACTAGAATTAGAAATTAATATGTAAATGAAATCGAAGCTCGGAACTTTTTTTTAATAGCAGGGAAAGGTTTTAAAACATGTGGTGGTATCTAAGTAGAAGGCCAGGGTAGTTTCAAACGTTGTATAAACCTTTTCTGTAAACAAAGGTCGGAGTTTTTGTTGCATATGGCTTCTGCTATACGTAAGAATAGGGTAAATTTGGTGGAATTTTATACATAACTTTAAATGCACTAAGAAGGACCTGACATACATGAAATCGATCACCACCCAGTGATCAATCAATTGTAAACTTTCTCTTATCCTTTGATCAAGCATGAAGAATGATGTTCAGAAATACGATGATGCATTTGTCTAGTTGTGCGCCCAATATAACTAGCTCTGCAGAAGCAGTTGAAATTGTAAATACATATAAAGGCAGAGAAACCAATTCATCCTTATTTCATGAAATCGCTGTTGGCTGGCTGAATAAAATAGGACATAATCTTGCCGCATCGAATGTAAGTTCTAGCGCTTTTTATATGCCTCGAGCTACTATTTCGCTGGATATATCACCTTTGAATTGTAATTTCAAGAATATAGGCTTTTTTACTACTGTCGATTAATTTTATTTTAGGTTTAGTTGCAGACATATGTTTCATTAAAAACTTCGATGAGTATCCGTGCTTAACCAATGAATTCTGAATAAGTAGGTATCATTACCAAGATTTGATTTGATAATTTTGAATAAAGTGAGCATTGGGTAGATTGTTATAAATAAATTAATATATTTCTAATATCCCAATGAGTAGAAAAATTAGATTTTCTGCCGTTTCGTGGCTCAGTGTAAGCCACTTCTTCAGAGAATAAATAACTAAATTAACATTAATCCAAGTTTAAATAGTACAACGGAACAACACTAATATTAGGTGATCAATCAAAAAGCAGGTTTGAATAAATCAATGTCATGTCATTTCGGTCAAGGTGATTCATAAGCGACATGTATGTAATTTTGTGTGTATGTATGCACTGTTAATGATGAAAAATGTGTGACCTTTATAATGACAACGGATAGAGTTAAATTTGTAATGTAATGGTGTGAAATTGTAAATAATATCAGACTAGGTGACTAAGATAGATAGTCCAAGTAGTATGTATGGTAAGGCCTTCCTTTCTATTGAGAGCAGTAGGATTAAGCATTATATGGAACGCTTCAGCTACTCTCCTTTCTTTAAAATTGGAAAAACCTTTCTGTAGTATTTTGATATTTTTGAAATCGATTTGATGATTGTTGAAAACGGCGTGAACTGCTATTGCCGAGTTAATTTGAAGTCTATCCAGTTCTACAGGATTATTAAGAGGTTTCTCTGTGTACCTAATATGTTCTTTGGAGCGAGTCAAGATTTCGCGAGATGACTCTCTAATATACAAGGCATCACAATCGATACAACCTAATTTGTAGACTCAGTTCTGTGTAGACATGAATGGAATCTTTTTCTTTTAATCAAACTAAAGTATTTCGAAGTGTGTTCGTTGTTTTGTAACATACTTTAATTCTGTGTTGTCTGAAGATCCTCTTCAAGACTATCCTCAGAACAAGTAATTTTGGCTTTGTGGGTCAAATATTTGACTAAGTTTCTTTTATATTGTAATGGGATAAAGCTAGAAAAGTGTGTATATTGATTTGCAATAAAGGCTTCTTATGAGCCCATCAGTTGTTATCAACAGGACTTCTAGAAATGAGATGGTGTCGTACTTTTCCTCTTCGATTGTGAAGTTGATTACCTGGTAGATTCTATAAAATGTTTGTAGTAGGCTCTGAGTTTTGCTACCGTTTTTTATAACTATAAATGTGTCATTCGTGTAGCAACAATAACATTCTAGCCTGCCTATCACTCCTTTTAGGGGACCGTTTTCTAATTTTATCGGAAAGAAATCAGCTAGGATTGGACCTAATGGTGATCCCGTAGTGGCACCATCTCATTTTCTGTAGAGTTCTTTACTAAACAAAAAATGTATATTCATGATACATCTACGTATTAATTCCTTTAAAAGAGAGACTGGAATGTCGATTTCGATTCACCGATTTTGTGGGCAGATGAATCTTTATGGAAGCCCTGAACAGGACTCAAGAAAGGAAGAATAACAAGACAACAACAGCCTAACAAGAGCAGAGAAAGTCAAGTCACGAGCTGAATACACTAATGCAAACAAGAAAGTGAAGAGGAGCATTAGAACTGACAAGCAGAAATGTGTGGAAGACCTAGCAACGACAGCAGAAAAAGCTGAAAGAGAAGGAAACATGAGATGAGTATATGCCTCGACAAAGAAACTGGAGAGGAAATATAGTAAACCAGAGAGACCGTTCAAGGACAAAGAAAGCAAGCCAATCACTGAGGTTCAAGAGCAGAGAAACAGATGGGTGGAACACTTCAAGGAAGGCTTGAATAGGAATGATTACTCTCCAAACCTCGATATCGACAGGCTGAATTCTGTAGAACACTTTGAGGAACTGTTGAATGGACCAGCGCTATTGAATTCACCAGAAATCGAAGCATCACTTGCAGACCTTCCTATAGTTGTCACTCCACCGACGATCGATGAAATCAGCATGACCATCAGACAAATCAAGAGAGGGAAAGCAGTTGGACCTGACAATATGCCACCTGAAGCACTGAAGTCAGATGTAGAAGGAACGGCAAACATGCTCCACGTTCTACTTGGGAAAATTTAAGAGGACGAACAAGCATGTGCAAGAGAACGTGCATCTTGGATTCCACTGCTAGCCACTATCCATATTTTCTTTTATACATAAAAGACTACATAAAATCAACATGTCATTCAATGGGAAATTAGTAATAGAATATGGACTAGAATACTTTCACCTATTTCAGAGAATTCTTGTTTGACAAACTTTTTCAATAAATTTCTCATGATTTGTTTATCCAATTGTGTGGATAAATATACTACTAATTAAATGACAAATCCCACTATTTTCTTTCTTAATGAAAATGGACGAAACGTAGGGAAAATATCAATACGTATAGGCAAACGAATACTTTTGTCGCATTTGACCTCATTTAAAATACACTCTGGAAAATTCTTCCAAGATACCGAACAGTAACTAATGAAAGCAGAATTTTATAAGAATATAAAAACAGTGAGAGTAAATTAATTAATTATCAGTGTAGGGAGTTGCTGATATTGTTGGCTTTGTACTTTTGTACTATCAAATGTCTTTATTTGAACAAAAACTGAAATCTAAGAAGCTCTGAACTGTTTCATTCTATTATTGGACTTTACAGAAGTAGACATACAAGAGACCACATGATGAACCGAACCAAGAACATTGAAATCTCACAGTAAGCACATAAATTTCAAACCACTGAGCCAGAATCCAATGGTTCACATGTCTAAAGTCAGCTGAATTTTATCTACTGATGGCCTTGCGAGTGTACACCAATAAGGAGCGGCATACTAAGAAGATAACATCTATTCACTATATATTTATCTTTAATGATTGCCTAGCTAAACTAAATCCACAATTAATTGTCACTCAACAGACAAACAAACAAGAGGAAATTAGAAAAATATGATGAATGTAGATAAGACACACATTAAGGAAATCATCAAACAGCAATACAAAGCAAACTCTGACATGGAATCCTCAAGGCAAAAGGAAAAGGAACTAATCAAATAAAATATTACACCTAGAACCGGAGGCAAACGTCAAAAGAATGAACATCACTTATCGACAACTGGAAAGGAGAACCCAGGACAGAGTAGGTTGGAGATTCCTGGCAAATAGCTTATGCTTCACGAAGGGTTACGGGCGTAATCAAATGAAGCAACTAATATTCAGCAACAAATTCTTATCAAACATGTTGGAGTATATGTATTCTGTATGAATTGCATCAACAAAGTTAGTTTGTCAAAGGTACTCAAATGGATCTTTAATAATTAAATAGCGTTTCAAATATAACCGAAAATAAATAAAATGATGTACTTCGAACTGAATAACATTTGTATTTTGTGTTACTATTCTATCTACCCGCCTACTTACTTATTTACTTATTATGATTAGAGATTATCAAATCACTTAGCTACTCGTAATTCTCTTACCATAAGTTAAGAATTAATTCATTTGTTGCGTATACATGTTCTGGAGTTTAATTTCGGTTATCACTTCAATATTTATTCAGTTATCATTTTTAAAATTCAATATTTTTTAGAAAGCTCAAAGCTCATTACATTCTATAAATTAATGGTAATGATCGTTTTGAAGAAACCAAGAGTTTTGTTCATTAGACCAGACTATACATTCTAAATATTTTCAATTCTTCACTGATTTAATCTAAATACTTTAAATTTGTTAAGTTAATCAATAAGAATAATTTCAAACAAATTAATTATCAAAAAATAAATATATGTTTAATTGTATATGAATATGTACTTAGATGTCAAGACAGTTCTACTGTATGGGGCAGAAACTTGGAGAACTAAGAAAGCCATCATCCAGAAAATACAAGTGTTTATTAACAGTTGTCTAGGCAAAATACTTCGGATCCGTTGACCAAACACTATCAGCAACAATCTACTGTGGGAGACAACACATCAGATTCCAGTGGAGGAAGAAATCAGGAAGAAGCGCTGGAAAAGGATAGGACAAACATTGAGGAAATCATCCAACTGTGTCACAAGGCAAGCACTCACTTGGAATCCTGAAGGCCAAAGGAGAAGAGGAAGACCAAAGTACACATTACGCCGAGAAATGGAGACAGACATGAGAAGAATGAACAATTGAATTGAACTAGAAAGGAAGGCTCAGGATAGAGTGTGTTGGAGAATGCTGGTCGGCGGCCTATGCTCCATTGAGAGTAACAAGCGTAAGTAAGTAAGTAAGTACACAGATAAAAAATAAGGAGACTTGTAAAATGATATCAATGTCCTTGTTGAATAATTCATTTAGTTTTAAGTATAAACTATATTGAGATTGGTCAACAATCAACCAATCATAATCAAGAGATAGTCATGTGTATGTTGTGGCTAGAAATGATCATTTGAATTCAGCACAGAAATCTTAAATTATTTCAGTACATACCAGACAATATGTTGTAGAGATGCACGTTTCAATATGTATTAACTAATCGATCGAACATCTAGTTGTTCTGCAACATAGTACTTACGTTTACCGATATCAATGCCAATCAACAAGAAAAATTAGGGGATTCCTACGGATTATCTCTAAATATTGAACACAGAAACAAATCGGCAATTCGATTTCAACAAATTGAATTCAGTTAGCACTAATGACAAGACAACATGACATTGGTTGCTAAGTCGTTTTGGTCTATAGATTAGTGAACCAGAAAAGCAAACATATTTTCGACCGGAACCTATGTGAAAGTATATCTTATTTCCCCCAATAATATTTAGTATTTGTAAATCAATTTCAACTATAAAGTTATCATACCGAAAGGGACTACATAATCTGAAAATAATTTCCCAAATATCCATACAGACTTCATGGTATATTGTCCAATACAATATATGAGAAGGAAAACACGTGGTCAAATTTGTCAAGATGAAAAACTAATGACTCTGGGGCCCTAAAATTGTAAGGATTTTTTGTTTGTAAACGATTGTCATGTACTTAGTTTACTCATTAAACCAACATATTTTAATATTATTCATATTGTTGGTAACCCCTATCAATACTTGAATGCATTCAATGTAAAGATGTACATTTGTTATTGACTGTTCTATCTCGAGCTTTAGATTCTTGCTATGCCGCGTACTACTAGACTACTTGAACAATTGAACCCGCAACGTCGCAAGAGAGAAGACAGAAGACTAGTAAATAGGAATGTTATTCCCAACACAGTGTCAAATATAGTACAAAAATCTCATGTATTTATAGTTTTTAGCTGAAAGTAAATCATCATTTTGGACAGCCAATAGACACATAGGGGGCCCTTCTTATTCATCCAATAGGAAAGCTACACGTCGACATTTTAGAGTGTTCCTCTAGCGGTGATTGGAATGAATGTTTTCTGATCTTTCTGGGCTTCTTGAGTTTGCCAACGAGCCATCCTTACATTGACCGAATTTACAAGGTTCATTTAGTAAATATCCCCACTGAACTATATCAAATTTTAGTAAAATTCGACAAATCTTTAAGAAAACTTATGAAATATTGAAGGGCTTTAATCGAGATAATCCACTGAGGAAAATACCTGTTGTCAATAGGTACAAGAATTTTGATAAACCTCGTGGAAACTGAAATTTAACGGTTGCGAATTGAACTCATCAGTCACAGTCCAAGGCTGCATACATATGATAGATATCTAGAAGTTTTACAATATGGATTTGGGGAATAATAGTATTGCGTTCATCATATCAACTGAAAATTGGGTCGTCCAACATTTTAACTAACAAATAACTTTATTCTATAAAATTGTTTGATTAAATAAATGAATTATTCAGAAAACAACAATCTATAAAAGTTCTGATTGTTGACAAATTTCTATTGATTAAACTGCATGATGGTTGACATTGTCATTATATTGACATATTCAAGAAAAAAGAACATTAAGACAGTAGGCGTATATTTACGTTTCAGTAGACCTATTGTAATCAATTTGGTTATACTGTAAAGTATACAGAACAAGTTAACTGAATTATTCTTTGAAAAATAAAGTAGGAATATTCAAAACTGTCCATGTTGTATAGAGATAACTATTCTCCTTTTAATGTTCAATAAAAATAGTGTTTTTAAAAACTTTCCCGTTCATTTGGTGTGTCAGCTCTGTATTTAAGAGTATAATTTTCACTGAGGCCTTCATTTTAATCCTCTAAATCTGTCAACATATGTCTTCTGTGAACACGACTTTGTGGCACATCCAGAACTGTAGGATGAAAAAAGCAGATAAAGCAAAAGATAGAGCTTAAAATGAAACCCTCAGTAAAAATCACAATCATATATGCTCCATTCAATCACTAAATGAACAGAAAAATGCTGGATATTGCACACATATCGAACATTGAAAATCAGAGACGCTACAAATTCACAGACTATAATCCTATCCCTCAGTATTTATCTACTTTACTTACAGTTAGGTACTAGAAATATGACAATGTACCAGTTGTCATAAGGCAGATAAGAAGAATATATGTGAATAAGTTTTTGGCTGAGATCACCCTAAAGATATTCAATGTTGACTAAATGTACCCTATCCAGTAATCATGGTCATTCTTCTGTCTAATTAGTATGTAAGTACTAGGTATTAAAGTGTACTTTTCAAGAGTTTCATTTTAAATTCTAAACTTCGACGCATTTTTTTTCATTATTCAGAATATCGGGCTACAATACATTGGTCATAGTCATAGAAACCTGTGAAATAGAGTTTTTGAGTAAAATTATACTTTATGTAGAACCTACCCATTAAATTAACGGAAAAGGTACCGAAAGTACTAGATATAACATACTTCGTTAACATTGAAAATACCGCCAATAACCTTCACCTATGGCTTTATTAATATTTACTTACTTACTTACTCCTGTTAGGCTTCATGTAGGAGCATATTCCGCCCATCAGCATTCTCCATCCACCCCTGTCCTGGGCGACTCTTCTCAGTTCTTTCCAGTTATTATTCATCCTTTTCATATTTGCTTCTATTTCCCGACGTAATGTGTTTTTTAGCCTTCCTCTTTTCCACTTCCCTTAAGGATTCTAAGTTAGGGATTGCCTCGTGATGCAGTTTGATGATTTCCTCAATGTATGTCTAGTCCACTTCCGATGTCTTTTCCCAATTTCCCTTTCAGATAAAAGCTGGTCTGTCCTCTCCCATAAAACGCTGTTGCTGATAGTATCCGGCCAGTGAATGTTGAGTATTTTGCGTAAACAACTGTTTATAAATTTATACGAATATTCATCAAGGTTAGAACGAATAGTTTGACAAAAATTGGGCGCCGAGTATAGAGAATTATTATTATTATTAGCTTTAATCAATGTTATATTTTTGGTACAATATAGAATTCTCAGCACAGAGTATTTCGACAAGTTTCCGTTTCTTTCTTCTTCGTCCTTCCTGACGATAAGTATTGAATGATCTCCAGTTAGAACTTAGCAGACCAGTCAATCGACATCTGGATAATGTACATTCTTCTCGCTGCATATTGCCAGCAACCACGATATCTCTGATTAGGCCTTCTGTAACCTTTACAGCGAAAGGTCTTACACTTTTCAGAAACGCACCTGAATAAGTTGTGCGACTAATAGGCATAATGATGTATTAAAACAAACGAAATTAGATAACTTGTTGAAATATCTAGATGACAGGAACAGGTAGTCCAGATGTTTAAACAGGTAGCCAATGTTATATATATATTATATGTGAAAAAATTATATTTGAAATAGCCTCAGCGATTGAAACATAAATAATTACATATCATCTGATTCATTCATATTATACTGAAAAACCCAAGAACCAATCTAAGTACTAATGTCATTCAGAAGTATAGTAAACTTATTTTTTATATCTAACCTTATTTTGCAATTGTACTAACAATCAACAAACACTTGACTAGTAGAACAATTTCTGTGTTGAAATAAATTTGAAATAGGCGATTAATATCAAAGTCTGAATAAAATTACTATGATCCATACAAATTGTTGTCTGGAATGAAGAAGAAATGTACTTTAATTTACCGATGAATACAATACACAGCTTTTACTGATCAATTACTGATAATAGTCAACATGAATTACTTTTTGGCAAGCTAGACGTTTTTTTAGATAGATAAACACAAATATTACTTATTAACAATGTAGTAGTAGTGTGATATATCATAAGTTATCAGTGATTACATAGAAAAAAAATATTACATGACCAAACATGTATTTTTCGTTGAAATTTTACGGATTTTGATCAGTTCGTAGTAAGAAATTTCACAACAAAGATTTTTTGTATGACTAAACAGTTCACGACAAATAGATTTTACATCAACAGCTACCAGTTTGTAACTTCAGTTGTTTGGTATTTAATTTAGGTAATTTGGAAAGGAAGTTGAGTGTTCACAGTTGAGATCGTATGTCTGTTAATCGACCTCATGATGCTAACTTCGTAGCGACTTTCTAGATCCCAAGATTACTCCTACAATCAAGCCTCTAATGAACAGTAAAGGGACAAAGTAAAAGATTCATTAATGTACAGAAAACCAATAAAATTGTATGTTAGCAAAGTTTGACCTCTGAAAACTGAAAACGCGTTAAATTTAGTGTCAAATTAAGTAATTGCTAAGTTAGAGTATCACAAATTCTGAATCAATTTTCTAGAATTTTTCTTGGTGTATACTGATTGGATTTAACATTTTCAGCCTATTTCTGACTTTTGAAAATCTTACAGGGGAACTCTCAGTGGGATCTGAACAGATCGCAAGATGTCATTATGTGCGAAAATTATATTTGAAATAATCTCAGCGATTGAAATTTAAATAATTCCAAAGTTTTGTCTAGCTAACTTGTCTGGACTTCTTCAGGGAAATAATCAACATCAAAATCATCAAAGAAATATATAGTTTTTTTAACAATCATCGAAATCTATACTATGTTAAATCAATCATATATGGATATTGAATTTTTGTAAACAGGATAATATGAGTCAGTTAAATGAGAATCATGTGAAAAGTTCACGTTGTGAAATAAAATAAAAGAAGACTGAATGAATTGTGTGTGCTTATGTATGTGTAGAATGAGTTGATATGTTGTTGATATGTTTCTATATATGAAATAAAAATAAAAGTGTCAATTGAAGTTTGAAAAATTGTTTCTGAATCATTGAATTGCAATTAAAAATGAGAATCACCAAGTACATAATCGTAATGCTAAACACAACTCATATTGATTTCAGTCGAAATAACGATTCATGTGAAGTAAACAGGTTGAAGAAAAGAAGAAAAGATCAAATTACTTGTTGATGAATATTTGCCAAATGGTAGCTAGCTGAATACCATCCTTTCTGTTTAGGCTGTTCTTATTCGACCATATATACAGCGCTTCTGCTGTCAATCTTTCTTTATGAGTGTTGAAACCTTTCTGAAGTATTTTGGCCCCTTCAAAATTAATCATGTGTCCCGTTTCTAACGCATTTAACGCTATTACAGACTTATTCTCAAGTTTCCTTAAGTCAACTGAAGTTTGGGGAACATTTTTTAAACATTGTTTGTGTTCCTTCAACCTTACCTTCAATTGTCTGGATGGTTCTCCAATATAAGCTGCATTACAATCATGACAATTGATCTCATAGACAATATTTTTGTTGTTCTTCCTTTGGTAACCTATCCTTAACCTTCACCAATGACGATCTTATAGTGTCACATGTTCTAAAATACACTCTTATATCATGCTTGTTTAAGATCCGTTTGATTTCTTCCGATGTTTCACTACGGTATGGTATGACTACAGTGGACTTCCAATCTTTCTGTACACATTGTAGTTTAGCTTTTCTTTCTTTTTTAACAATCTTCTTTAAAAACTCTTTTGGGTAGTTGTTATCCCTAAGTGTAGATAAAATCCTATTCAATTCATATTGTTGGTCTTCCTTATCTGTAACAAGCTAAAGACTTCTGTTAATTAAATTTTTAACGACCGTGACTTTCGTACATAATGCATTAGCCAAATCAAAATCTAAGTATCTCTCTGAATGTATTGATTTTCTGAAAACATTTATTTTCAACTTCCTATTATTAAGTCTTCGCTCAACCATACAGTCGAGAAATGCCAGTTGGTGGTCAACAGACTCTATTTCCTTAGTTAGATTAATTTGTTCCGAAATGTTGTTCACATTTTCAAACAATTCTTCCAAATAGTCCTGTTTAATGATAACAAAAATGTCATCTACATACCGTAGCCAGACCTTTGATGTACAAACACTTCTTGCGATTGCACTAGTTTCGAGTGAATGCATTAATAAATTCGCAACAATCGGAGAAACTGGTGAACCCATAGCTATACCTTCTTTTTGTCTGTATAGATCTCCTCGAAATATCAATAAGGTGGACCTTAAACATAGTTCCAAGCATTTGATAAACTCAGATGGATCTAATGGATAACGTAAATTCAAATATATATATATATATATATATATATATATATATATATATATATATATATAATAATAACCATCAATAATTAGATATAACAATGTAATAATGTTTCAAAAAAATTCTTCCAAGTAACTGAAATGTGTATTTAAACTGTTAAATATAATTATCTGTATAGGGTTGTGGAAATTATTGAATTTTGATAGAGATCATGAATGGATCACTATTAGACCACCATTGAAAACCTATAAGAACTGAACGGCCTTTTCGTCCTAGTATGAGACTCGTAAGCAGTGCGCATCCACGACCCCTCACTTTGGATTTGATCCTATGAACTTCGGTCTCGCGCACGGACGCAGTTACTCACTGAAGACAATGGAGGACGACCGCGCAATATCGTGGATTAGCTGAAGTTAGACATTAACACTGTTGGATGTCGGTTTCGTAGTCTAGAAGTTAAGTGTCCGCATGTGAGACTGAACTTTCTGGGTTTGAGTCCCGGTCCTGGTATCTATAAATCAGTCTCAAACCTGGGGTACCCTACCTATTTCCTTCTAAAACAGTTTGATTTTGGTTAGACAAGGAGATCTGGCCTCCAAAAATATTGTACTGAAGAATAGAACATCTAGATATTTTGTCCGATCATTCGAATTCTCCTAAATCTACATCTGTCAATCTTATTCAGCGACGCTTTAGTCAGGATGTGCAATTTAAATATTTATCTCGCTCGAAAATTAGATTTATAAGTGAATATTAAAACTGGATTAAGTCTGTAATACTCACTGTCCTTGAATTTATAAAATGTTATTTGTAAAAACAGTCAATAACATCCTATTTCTACCGAACATATTCAAGGTATGCTGATCTGCGAAGAAAAGGATTTTAAAAGTTTTAAAATCCTTGGAAGTTCTTCATTAAAAAGTGTTCTTAGAAATTTAACACTGGTCTCCATTACAGGATAACATTATGAATGAGGTCATTGTAAACCAGGATGTACTGAAAACCAGGTTCGAAACCATTGTTGCCTCAACGATCAAACTCTGAATATTCAGATCTCGTAGTGAGTATAATACTCAGAATTCAATAATAATTAATTTTAACACAGTCATAAGTTTAAGAAAATCGAAAATTTGTAACTATAGAAGTTGATAGAGTAAGATTTCGAATGCATTACATTTATACATAATCGAGTTAAATTTATAACATAATAAGATTATACAGCATTGTGTTTTTACTCACTCATTATTTATGTTGGACTTTGTATCTTCATCATATTTCAAATGAACAGTGTGAAGTGATTTTTGATTTAAATGAAGTGATATGAGAAAAAAAAAGTGTATTTGTACAAGGATTGGTGTAGGCATATACACCTATATTTGTATAACTCTACATATATATATATATATATATATATATATATATATATATATATAATATCTGTACTATGATTGGCTCAAATAGTCTATTAGAATCTTTCTAATCATTAAGTATTCACCATAATTTGTGTTACCATAATCATGAGATTATTAAATCAAATTAGAAATTTAACATTGATGATTTACCATAAACTTTATAATTTATTTCATTTAAACAATAAATGTTTAGCATGTTTTATAATGATCATCTTTATTACAATTTTGTATTATTCAATTTTAATGAAACGAATAAATCTTGAAGTTGCATATATGATTGCTCCAACTTCACCTGGGATATTTATACAAATTACAAGTGATTCATTATCAACAAATTATACTACTGAAATTGTGACACATCGTATAACTAGTTCAGACCCTATAATTACCACCAAGACTTTTCATCCTCAACGCCATCATCATCATCGTCGTCGTCGTCCACGTCATGGTCACAGAGAAATGAGATTGAGAAAAGTGAAGTCCTTGAAAACCATCAAATTGAAGCAACAAGTACATTCGAGGTTAAATAGGAAAACTAGAGGAAAAAATGATGTTTCTACAAAAAAAATTTTTCCTCCATTATATCTTAATAGTTCATTTTGTTTAAATCAGTCCTATTTTTATATTGATAATAAAAAATATGTCAAATCAAAAAGATATCGACAAATTATAAATTTAACTAATGCATTATCACTATTTAATCAAAGTCAATGGTTGAAAATAAAGCCAACTATATGTCAATCTGCTAAAACAAATCTGTTAATTATTACATTCTCTCCAATTGTAGATAATTTAACTCGATATAAAATTCGTCAAACATGGGGTTCAGTTAAATATATTTTAAGTGAAACTACTACTAATAAACAATATTTCAATGGATTAAATAGTATAGAACATTTATTCATTGTCAATGCGAGTAAACGACATTTTAAACAAAATTCAATCAAAGTTCAATATCTTTTAAAAGAAGCACAAAATGAGAAAGATATTTTACCCCTATTTTTAACTGGTTTACAGCATAATTATGCTTCTTTACATATTTTAGCTAGTGAATTCTTATTACATTATTGTAAAAATTCTATAGATTTTGTTTTATTCATTAATCATGATTTATTTCCAAATTTAAATGCTTTAATTCAATATACAAATTCAAAATTATCACAATTATCTTCGAATACATTAAAACAAAATAATCATCATAATAATCCATCTATATATTGTATCCCAATTATACAAAAACGTGTTGAATTCAATAATCTATTTAAAGATTATTTCAAAGATCATTTACCATTATGGCAAGGAAATATTTATCCAACACATTGTGATATTAAAACTAGCGGTTTCCTTTTATTATTTAAAACAATGAAACAATGGTATGCATGTTCTCGTTTATATATACCATTTAATCCTATACAAGTTTATTTAACTGGTCTTGTAAGATATGTAGCTAAAATTAATATTGAAAGTTATTGGACAAATTATTGGTCAATTGGCAATCTTTTACCAAGTGTATCTTTTAATAAGAAGAGTAAAAAATATTTATTTTTTCAAAAATCTGTTAATCAAAATAGTCGAGTATGGAAAAGTGTATTTCGAGCAACATTGAGTTCATAATACCATATATATATTTATACTTTTTCTGAATCCTACTTTTGTTTGGATTGAGCAGAAATACATGAATTCAAATTAATGAGTCATTTGAAATAAATATATAGATGAAATTTATTACTTACTTGCTTAAACATGCCACCCTTATTGATGCATAGGCTAACAACTAGAGATCTCTAACCAAAATTGTGCTGAGTTCTTAATTTAGTTGTTGTCGTGTGTTATCCTTTTCCGTGATGTCTGCCCCCAGCTTCCGTTACCATGCCTTTTTCTGACTGCCTGTTTTATTTTTGCCTTGAAGATTCAAAGTTAGGGTTTGCCATGTGATCCATTTTGATGATTTCTGTAATTTGTGCACTATCCACCTTTAGAGTCTTTTCCTAATTTCTTGCTTAATTTGCAACTAATTTGTTCTCTGACAGTAACTTACACCTGATGATCTCTAACTAGTAGATATGGAGTATTTTGTGTCGACGGTTATTTATAAATACTTGTACTTTTGGCGATGATTTAGTTAGTTCTTCAGCTTTTAACTCCATGCAATGGACCTGCTTTAATGTTTGAGTTAAAAATTCGTGACGTTTTGTCTTGAGTGACACTTCTTAAGTCCCAGATTTTTATTCAGTAGTAGGCATGTCCCCCTTGTATTACCAGTCCATGCTTTTAAATCTGCACGTGATCCTTCTTGTTTAGAGCTGATTTTGTCCATTTATGTAAAGGCTTTCACCTCTTCCAGGGTTTTACCACCAAGCGTAATTTGATTTGTACCCACTTTATTGTGCATTAGGATCTTACATTTTTGTTTTTGAATGTTAAAGTCCATATCTGATAACGAAGCCGCTCCTACTTTGGCAGCCTTTGTCTGCATTTGTTGCTGTTTGTGTGACAGGATAGCTGAGTTATCTCAAAAACCCAAATTTTTCGAGTACATCTATAGTGCTCACCATATTCCTTACGTTTTCTGAGATGTCGCGATCATCATCCATCCGAAAGCTAGCAAAAAGATAAAAGGTAAGCAGTCTGTCTGACACCAATATTCACTTGAAATGTATCTATGACCTACTCTCCGTGCATGACTTTGCGGTTCAGTCTATTGTAGGAGTTCCGTATGATAGTGACAATCTTCCTACGTACCCCATCCTGTCAAAAATTTCATAAAGTTCTTCTATTCACACTGTTTAATACTTTCTCATAATCCTTTCGAGTGATTGATCAACAACGATCCACAGTATCACGATTCGATAGGTACATGGCCGATCCTTACGAAAGCTAACTTATTGGTCCCGAAGTAAGGAATCTGCTGAATCTTTCATTCGCTCGGTCAACATTATCTTAAAGGCTTTTCCGATACTGATAGTATTGTAGTTCCTCCGTAGCTATAGCATTCGCTAAGATATCCTTGATAAGGTATCCCTCTTTGGAGTCTTTTGTTACTTGTTTTTCGCAAATTTTTAGGAAAAGAGGACATGGGACATATTTACAGTTACCTCAATATCTGAATTCAGTTCTATGTTGTGACTAGGTTGTTTGGCTTAACGCCCCACTTACCCAATGAATCGGTGAGCACCTTCCTTTGAGGCTGAAGAAGGGCGTAACAAGAACAGTACTCAGCTCCATTGTGTCACAATTAGTCAAAAACGGTCATGGAAGAACCAAATCATTCAGAGTGATTATCTTATACCTACTATTTTTCCTCACGGCTTCGATCTCGTCTCTTATTTATCGTTAAATTTGTGGGGATACGGGTCAATAACCAAAGTATTTATATTTATGAGATAATTTTAGCAGCTCATCTTCCTCGCTTGAATTAGGCTTAGAGAACGATTTTACTTATTATTATAATTAGTTTTCATATCGTTTTTTTATTTATCAACCTCTTTTTCAAATATGTCCTTCACTATCGAATTATTCCGATACCTCAAACTATTTTCAGTTTGGGGTTGTGGAGAATGTTGAAATTCATTGAAATCACAAACTGATCAATGTTAGACTGTTGGTCTTGAAGTCAAACATTTGCGAGTGGGATCGAAGTTCTTGAGTTAGAATCATGCCTGTGGGATCGTGGGTACGCACTTCTGGGGAGTCCCATAATAGGGCGAAACGGTCGTCCAATGCTTCCGAGTTTCCAATAGTGGTTTAACATTAATCGGTTCATGATTTCATTGGAACTTATCACTGTTATTTTAATGATTTTTAATGTTAACTCACTGTCTGTGTTTTCTAAGCCTACAACTTACTTCTTACAATGAAATATTGGTTAAAGCCCTTATTATTCTTATTACAACTAATATACATATTGTCGTAATGTCAGATTGTACCTTTTACTTATTATGTCTGGTTATGTAATCTGTTGACTCATAAACTGTCTTGATTGATTTATTATCTTCATGTATGCATATAAACATTACTGTATATTAGAGTGCAACCTGATAAAAATCTGACTGAAAAAAATATTGTTGACTTATACGTGTTGATCTGATTTACAAGATAAGAATTTTTCAATGTTTTAAGTATGTATTGTGTTAAGAGGATTTCGAGAGAAATTTTGCTCTTCAGTAGATGGGTATTATAATTTAATTATCGTTTGTTTTCAACTGTAGCTAATGGTATATCACAACGTTTGCATCATATGTAGCATGTCTTGGTGGTGTGTTTTCTTTTATCGAAGGGATGAAAGTGTATTCTTATGAAGTTTTGCAGATTACACCAATTTAATTGTTTGAGGGTAGTTTAACGTTAGTTCCTCAAATAACACCTTTTTATGACAAAACCTGTAGCAAAATTCTAAAACTAACAACTTGTACTCTGTGTTCCTAATCCTATTCCGAACCACAACAATGTTATGTTGTGAGGTCGCACGAGTCTGCAACTGATATATACACTTCTAATACGTGTGCCCAAACTAGCTACTTAAGTAAGAAAACTATGAGTAGGAAGCTTTTATTGACAGACGGAATTGAGAATACATACACAACTCAGTCATAAATATAGACAAATAGTCAACAGAAAGTTAAACTATATTTTCGACCAGTATCTATTTCTTTAGGCAATAAAGCCGAATCTTGACTAATAGCATGAGACAGTTAGCACATAGCACTTCTCCTTACCTGCGTCTGATTGGCCCATTGTATCATTCTTTTTATGAAAAATAAGCCTTGTTGATTAATCTCAGCTCTGGGAACTCAAACGGGAGAAAATCCAGTAACACTGAAAAATATTTAATGATCAAATACGGGAAAAACTGAAATTACATTTAGCAGAGATGGATAGTGGAATCCAGGACGCGCGTTTCGTCCTATTTGGGACTCGTCAGCTGGATGCACCTGCATCTCAGAGTTGATGTTCACTCTGGGACTCGAACCCAGTACCCTCGCTTCAAACGCCATCGCGTTATCCACTCGGCCACTGAGTCCTGATAGCAACTTGCTTGTGCGATGGGGTGAAGTTTAAATTCAACTTAGTATTGTTTGTTTGAATCTTCCCATCGATTTGTTAGGACTGCAACTGGTCAGTCTCTAATTGGCATATGTGCATACTGTGCGTATTGTCTCGATATACCTAAATTCACAAGCATGGTTAGCAGAGATGGATAGTGGCTAGCAGTGGAATCCAGGACGCGCGTTTCGTTCTATTTGGGACTCGTCAGCTGGATGTACCTGCATCTCAGAGTTGATGTTCGAATAGGACGAAACGCGCGTCCTGGATTCCACTGCTAGCCACTATCCATCTCTGCTAACCATGCTTGTGAATTTAGGTATATCGAGGCAATACGCACAGTATGCACATATGCCAATTAGAGACTGACCAGTTGCAGTCCTAACAAATCGATGGGAAGATTCAAACAAACAATACTAAGTTGAATTGAAATTACATTTGTTATCCAACCATTGCCTCTGTTTTCTTGAGAAATCGAAACAAAATTATTTTTTAGCTAACGGTTAATTGATTAGTTTATGAAGGGATTTATTAAGGTTGAAGATAGTTTGCATCATCGGCCGATATAAATAAAAGAACTTTTGGAGATATTGAATCTCCAAATACAATTCATTAAGAAGAAATCAATCTTAAAATTTCACGTATTGACATAGGGTGATTTACGTTTAGTCATTTTTCAAGACCCTTTCAACTGTATTGATTCATTCAGTGGGAATTTCATTTACTTTAACTTTCAATGAATTATAATATATTTGTATTGGTTGTTTGAAATAACCTATTAGTATTCAGAACTGAAATCGATCAGCTTTTTAGCTGGATTCGAGAACCGGAGTGAACACCAACACTGGTAAGCAGACACATCTAGTTAATAAGTCCTGGGTTCCACTATTACCCATCATATATCTCAGTTTATGATTTTAGTAAACTGTCATTATATTAATAAATTCGCTGTGACATTCATTCAATATTACAAGTCATTTATTAATAATCACTGAATGTAATTGGCATATAATTGAATGAGTTCAAATGTAAATTCATACCAGTTCCTTTGGTTCTCCATCCATAAAATTCTGGAAAGGCTTGGCTTACTGTCTACAGTTGGTAAGTAGAGGAAATGATGACAGAAAGTAGCCTCTTTCATAACCACCTAAATCCGAGTTGACAATCATTAGCTGAGTGCACAATCGTATCAAGAAGCATTGAAAATTAGGGAGCATTCAATATACACAACTATCTTCTCCCAGTTTAAGACTTCCAGTAATATGCACCGGCAAACTTAACAAGGTTAAAAACTCAATGTCTAGTCTATATGATAAGTCAATATTCGACAGTTTATACTTTTAAAATTTCTTCACTTCAGCTAAATAGATTAAATGTTATGTTCGAAACTGAGAAAATAATCACACCTACTAGGGGTATGAATAAAGATCAAAGGCCATTATTATAATGCAATAATCAAGTCTTAATTTACTTCTGAGTTAATGCTATTACACAATTTAGTAATTTTTGGGAAATAAAAGTTTCAGGTAGTGACAATGTACATGTGAACACTGTGTCGAAGTAAATTCCTTCTGTACTTTGACGTATGATTTTTAGTAAAGTCGTCTTTCGTTTTCGGATAGCCTAATGTAATCAAAGATAAATTCGGGATCTGGGTTTTATGCTTATAATGTTCTTGACATTAATCAGTATTTTTTAGGGAAAATGGATTTGATGGGTCTCTGGAATGCAAACATATTTCAGTAATATAATCGATCGGAAGATTTCTTACTCGAATGTTCACAATGGCAGTTATCCAGTAAATTAAATATATAGAAAATCTTCACACAGGTGTCAAGTGTAGGAACTTACAAAAACTTTCGTTTAAATTTGAAAGAGTAGTTTCAAAGAAGTTGGGCACCGAGTGTACGGTAACGTTATTTGATTCGTACACGTGATTTCCAATTCCACATCATTTTAATTTAATTTATCGAGAAACTAAAAATCTAGAATTGTGAGCACAGTAACAATGAATCCCGTGTTAAATTAAAAGTAAAACTTCAGCTCAGAGAAATCCTACATTTACTATATAAGAAGAGTTCTCTAAACTTTTGTATAGAAGTAGTGTTACACAATTAAGCTACTTATAAGTAGTTTATAACAAACCAATAAAATGTATAGAATTTCGTTTTGTCACCTTGATTGTTAACTCACTCCAAATTACCAGATAAGTTACTCTATAAGATATCATCCTGTGGTTTTATACACCACCAAGGTCCTTATTAATCTAACTGAAGAGAAAACCTTCGAAGTTTTAGTTCTGATCCTGAAAATATCACTTTTAAATAGATTTATATGTTAAGATTTTTGTTAAGTTATCCTATTTCATGAGATGTTTTCAAATAACGAAAAACTTATCCCCTCCTTTCTTACTTTTCCTGATTATTCAATCAAAGAATTACTTAAGACAAGGCATATTTTCAAAAGTTGAATTACTAACTTTAAGTTTCAATTAAAAAGATCAGGAATAAAGGTTTAAGCAAAATTTTGTTAGGTTTTCATCAGCTGTTTACAACCCATAATATTTTAAGATCAAATTTGTCGTAAAGTTTATAAACTTATAGCAGTGGAACTCAATATCTATAATCACGGTGCAGTAACGAGATTGAAAACACGTAAAGAGTGTTGTAAATAAATATGACTTATGAAAGAAGGTTCTGGATCATCAGAAATAATAACAAGAGATCAAAGCGTTAAAATAATCAACCAATTATCTAATGAAGTAGCTAGATATAAATTAATAGCAACTAATAATTACCTGAGTTGACATCAGTCAGTTAAAAATATAAATATGAGTTTGAGAAAAGTAATGCGCTCAAAAAAGAAGTGGAAATTGTAAGTATCGTGTAAACAACTAACGGTAGGGACACCATGACAAGGAATGATTTATGACTGTTTCCTTTTAGATATAAAAGTGTGGCTTGAGTCGTTTGATGTCTGTTGGCTTGATGAGTTTGAGGAGAATGGAGTTTGACTTTCGTTTGATGATCCAGAAGGATTACAATATTTAGACCTGATGCCCTATTTCACAAAGATGCTTTGCAATAGCTTTGCTAAACACTTCCAATCCCATTAAACTAAGACATTTTGGTATATATTCTTGGATTATAATACAGTCCCTTTTTTCTGTTAATGTAACTGCTTCGGAAGGTACATATAGATTTGTATATGCAGTTCATTATACGTATACACTATATATATTACATCAATTAAACATATTAGATACAATATTTTTTTATTAGGCTTAAAGATATATAACAATGATTTATTTGTACAGCTTTAAGACTTTGGATGAGGTCAAAGAGAAAGCTGTTAACCCCATCTTTACACTCCTTAATATTTGCAAAGTGATAACACTTTATCTGTCTGGCTTTGTCTAGCCACATTTCATTCTTATGACGTTTTCATTCGATCACAATTTGATATGATGAGCAATGACTCAGTTGATTAGATTATGAATGACATACGACACTGTTTTCCCCTAATCGACTGTGACATGTAGTCAGATCTAGAGAAGGAGCAATCATGTAACTTAGTTAATTAGTTATATCTGATGGTCGTAGATACTTAAATGTGTTATGACTGGTTGTCGATTTTTATGACTATGCCTCAAATCGCTATGTCTGGTCCTCTGTAATTGGTATGTAGGAATCGCTTATTACTAATATTAGGAAAAACGAGGGACCACTGCAATTTCCATGACGCGAAGTAAGAACACCAAGACTGATACAGGTGAAAATTTATTAACCCCAAAACACGAAAACGACCATAGTTGAAAATACACTCATTTATGTATTGATTTGTACACCTATTTTGATTAATAATTAAGATAAAATCACATATATGAAAAATCCTCAGATTTATAACAAATTGCATGCTACATGTCATTCTCAGTCTAGTTTATGTTAATTTAATACAAGCATATCTATCATATCTTGAGTAAACACATCACACTCAAATAAATTAATGTTATACCAAATAAAATAATGCACTGTAAAACAAAACAACTACTACACTGAATAACTATTACATTGAATTAAAACGGAGGTAATGTTGAACAAAATCCTTAATGAGTAAAGAATGTAATTTTGCCTTTTTATTTCCATTACATTGAATTGAATGATATTGTATATAGGTGTTCACTCAATAATTTATTGACTAATTGATGTAAAATGTTATTGAGTTCAATTTATACAAATCTGACTGTAAATAAACCACATAAATAGTCATGTATTCATGTATCATTATGAGTTACTTTAGGGATCAAATAAATACTTATCTATCATCTTCATATTTTTACTTCCATCATCCAATTCATGAGTTTCCAGTACCAAATATCAAGTCACTTAAGCGTTTCATGGATTTTATATAATCATACTCCATCCGGTTAAAATAACTAAAATATACCATATACATTAAGATCTTTTGGTACAAACGGAATCTATGTCATAGCGTCGACAAATCAATCACAATGTGTTTAATCTTAACAGATATGAAGTTAATTTTATTTTGAATATCGGTTGTCAGTGAAATCCTGGATATTTATTTTAGACTCATTAATTGGATGTAACTGGATTTTAATATTGATGAGGTTCAGTGCAATTAGCGCTGTGTTCCAATTTCATTTGAGGCAACAATAGTGAGACGCAAGTAAATTCAACGGACAAATTGGAAAATATAAGTATCACAGATTCCATTGATAACCACTTTCCAACTAATTAATGAAAAGACAATTTGTCGACAATCCTTCAAGATAGTACAATCTCCACAAACCTCCATTCTGATAATAATAATAATCATGTGCTCACTAATGACTAACTTAAAGATGTATTTCGTGGAGTTCTTGCGAGAAGCCGTTATCAGTGCAGTTCAATCGTGTCTGTTGTGAGGCAGTTACTCTCCAAAGACAATGGTGGACGATCGCCGATTATGGTGGATTGGTTGAAGTTAGACATTAAAACCATTGGATGTCGGTTTCGTGGTCTGGAGGTTAAGTGTTCGCGCGCGAAGTCTTAGATGCGTACTGCTCACAAATCCCATACTAGAACGAAACGGCTGTCCAGTTCTTCCAGGTTTTCTATGATGGTCTAGCTTTAATCGACTCATGAATTCAACTATTAAATTCAATATACTTTTATTTATGAAGTTTACTTGAAATCTATACATAAATATTCTTTATGATAACTGGTGCCAACAAAATCAATGACGCTTGTGATTCATAACTTCTCCTTTTTTGATAAATATCATATTTTCATCATCATTGAAATGGTCATATGACATATTATTTAATTGAATAAATTTTGAAGTGGATAAGTAAGTCAAAGAATTTATCGTGAAAAATTATCTACAGTCACCCTTCCTACATAAATCTCAATATCATTGAACATTTACATACATACTAGGCAATCTTCATGTATATGATACTTGTAAACTGATGTTATTGTTGTTGTTTTCTTTTCCTAAAAAGAAAAATTTACATGACAAGTTCGTTGTTCTTTTTCTTTGTTGTTCTTCACAATGATATTATCGCATTTTATTCTTTACTACTTATTGAAATTAAAGTTTATCTTGATAAATTACATGTTTTATAAACTGTAATATCGCAGGTGGATTATTATTATTATTTTTTAATGTTTCATAATTCCCCCCTCTCTTTGGTTATTCATTTGTTTATTGTTAAGATGTGCTTCTTTTCTTACTTTCATCTAACTGATAGATTTCAATATAAATATACTTATATAGAAAAGTGTATTATGGATGTAAAACATTTTTTATCCCATTATATATATACAGGGAAAAATTAGTTGGAGAAATTGACCACTCGTAAGAAACTCATATTCCTAAAACTACAGTTCAACGGGGATGTGGTTGGCGATGTCCTGTGTGGTAGATTAACGAAAGCAGTTCATTAGACATTCTATTCAACTAATCTTTTGTTTACATTTTCTAGTAGATCAGTAAAATCTACTCAAACAAAGGATAACGTATCTAAGTTTTCCTTTTCGATGTGCATCTAATAATTCAGCTACTCTTGTGGAGAGAGCTATATTGGGTGCACTACCATACGACTTAACCAACAAATGCGTAAACGTCTCCCAGATTATAGGTATCAATATTAAGGCTAGATGTGGTAGTTTCAAAGAAATCGAGCATTGTGCAATAAGTGAATAACGATAAAGTAGTTATGTTTTTGTGATTTTCAAATGAGTAGAAACTTGGATTTTTTTTCCCGTTTCGAGATTTAGTGTAAGACACTTCTTCATAGTAAACAAATAAATAACCGAAGTAAACGAAAACACTTTTAAATGGTATATTGGAAACAAAGTAGAACACTTTTTTGTAAAAAAAAGTCATAATAGGTCTGAATATGTTGATCCCATATTATTTTTGGTTAAGGTGATTTTGTATGAGACATCAGTATTTCTATTTGTGTGTATAGATATGAAAAATGTGAAGTTCGTAATTTGAAGAAGTGCAGCTCTATCAACGTCAAAAGACTCGACAAATATGACAGTATTCACTGTAACAATCAAAATTCTAATATTTGATCTGTAAGCAGAAAACCAACAAATAAAAATTCACTCGATTAGACCAAACTACTTTCTTATATAGAGCGTACTAAGCCTTTTCGAGTCACTCGTATTAAATCATGTAAAATCTCGAACCTTTTCCTCAATTTAGTCGGTTCTGATTTAGAATGGAAACCAAATTATATTGAAATTAAAAAGTACCTCAAATATTACAGCTTATGATATACAGTCATTGGTTTTTCTAGCATGGAATAGTGTACTAAACATCAAAACTAATGATTGATAAACGAGCGTTAAATACATGAGAATCCGTAAGAGTATACCCAACAAAACGGGATAAGATACCTATCCGAAAGGATTGGAATAACCGTTTCCAGTAGGCAGTCATAGGACAACAATGGTCAATAGCTTTACGACATAACCTTGAGTTCAGTCAAACATGGCTTTATTATCAATGGTCCGGCGTCGTATAACAACAAAACTAAGTAAGAAACGTAAAGCCAAATGAAGGCTTAGACAAAGAAGGTTGAGAAACGTAAAACTACGAGTGTACATGTTCTATGTAGGATTTAAAAGACAAGACAGAATAAAAGATTCAAGAAATAAATATATTGTCCAATTGAAGACTCTTTGAAGGCATTTTCAGAGTATTCCTGCTCTTACAGTCATTAATCAGTGATCGTACAATAAACAAGTTACAAACTGAAATAAAGAAGGTACTTAATACTCTGTATTTTTCAATAGATTTCCTGTTGTTAATAATGATGGGGAAATTTAGCTATAGAAAGTAAGTAACTATCAAATTTACAGTGCTCTTTAAAGTATCTTAGAAAGTTCACGCATAAGATATCTTCATTTTTAAACAGTAAAATTCCTTGTAATTACTTGGAAGTGATAAAAGTTCATTTTAATTTTTCAAAAACATTAAATAAATGTAAAATACATGAGTATAATTAATTGTCATGGTGCCATTGTCTCTAAGATATGTAACCATTAGGTAATTTTATGTCATATATAATTTGGTAATACTATGTCACGTGAAAGAATTATATAAATAAGGTTACAAATTACTGCTGAATATGAGTATTTACATGCATGATAAATAGTAGTGTAGTCGTATTCCACGTGTTTCACTCACCTCAGTAACACATGACAGATGGAAAGGGAAGTCACACGACAATATTGTCTTGCTTTTGTTAATCACTCTTGTTTTCGAGTTATTTTAACTAAATGATGTAAACTAATTATTTAATATGTATGTGGTATGTATGTTGTCTCCATTGTATTATCTGACGATGGATTATCTTTCAATCATTTTTCTACTAAAAAAAACAAAAAAAAACAAAACAGTCATATACATATTGGTACACGTATAGAGCAACAACAAATAATAATTGACGGCCAGGACAAAGTGGTTTTTCGATAGGATAACTAACTACGGGAATTCTTGTAAACTAGGTTACATAAATTAATCCAAGAGAGAATGGATTACGAATTCTATCATTTATACACAGAAATATGTTGGTATGTGTATAGAATAGTATACATATAGCGCTAATTCATGTATGTAAGCAAATATGTGGGTGAGAGATTTAGAGTGATAAAGGAAATTTTCGTGTTCGCTTCTATTTTAACCAAGGTCAACTATTTCACTGTCTTTTTTATTAATGTGTGTATATATATATAGATTGAAAATCCTCCTTACACGAGACGAAAATCATAGGGATTACTGTGTCGTTACAATTTGTTACTATAGCAAATTTAGTCATTACACACTTCATAATTGTAATGTCATCAGTATAACAATATAAATTTACAACAGTTTTAGATAACGAAAAAAGAGATGGTGGATTTAGATAGAAAATCAGTGCGATTAGGAAGAGCCTAAGTTTGTAAAAATTGTTTGAAATGTAATTGATTAAAACTCTTAAGCTTTACAATCGTGATAAATTTGACCTGGCAACAGCATTCCTAAATATATAGCTTTGTTATAGGGAGTGGTGGTGATCACTGAGGGACACTTAATTCATTATGACTAACATGACCTTGGGAGACAAAAATGTTTTCCACTCAATTATGTAACACTTTATATCCAAAACAAATTAACAAAAATTCATACTAATTTAAGAATTTCTAGTTATTTTTTTACTACACATAATAGTTACTATAGCATTACTATAGCAGTCTAATTTCTATCCGAAATTAGGCTGTGTAGACTAATTTTTTACGAGGTCAAAGGCTGATGAAGATTAACTGTATCAGAAATAAAGGACCTATTATGATGTTGACTAATTTAGTTGATTTAGGGATATAGCTCATTTATCATTTGCCTAATCGGTGAAATTCCTTGTCGTTATGTTAAGAAGGCTTGAAAATCACACAAAATGATATTGAGACAAAAAATATGTGGAATGTAAATTTCGTGTCAGTGGTTAAGTATTTGAAATATACGTTACTTAGTAGACTAAATTATCAGTAGGTACAGAATTATGAGAGAATATGAATGGGTTGAGAGAATTCAAATATCTCCATTGGAGCTATTGACTTGGATGTATTGCTGATAGATTATATTTCGTATAGTGGCTAACGGCGGAAAATGAAAATATGCATTTTTACCTTATTTATAGTTTATTAAGTGGATGCATCCACATTCCAGTGTTAACAATTACAACCCACAAAAATTGCGAAGTGAATTGTAACCAGTAAATTCATCAGTAAAACCGTTGTTTCTACAGAATAGGAGAAGTGTTATGTGAATTCTATTCATCATCAACTGGTTTCAGTCAGGATACAGTTGAGAACCAGGGAATGCTCGTTGTAGCATGACACTTCTCAACAACATACACTCTCTCAATCGTCGCTTAGCAGTTAAAGCTACCAGGTGGGGGCCTGAGAATGGGTTATGGATGAACGCTTCTAGGAAGTTGTACAATAGAACGAAACAACAATTCTTGGTTTTGCAATGATATCTCAACTGAAACCGGTCGATGATGAGTGCAATGTACGAATGAAATTAATTTCTGCACAAGCCCTTCAATTAAACCAGTATACAAGTTTAAGTAATGTAGAGTTATTAAAGTAATATGTAGCAAACCTTTTAAGTGTTTTTTCTCGAAATGTACGGATTCGTTTTTCCGAATACTACTGTAGATCAGTGAATATTGCAGTTCAAAAGGGGGACGCTTAAACTTATAAAAATGTCATTCAGTACAATGATAGTTTTTAAAAAGCTGTTTGGTTGAATACAGTAATAAAATATAAGTAGGTGAAAGTCAAATTTATACATCCTCTCTATATATTTGCAATTAGATGTGTTTGAATTATCGATATACACAGTAATGTATTTAATTTCAATGACAGTGAAAATTGAACGTTTCATGAAATCACGTACCTACATTTAGCAGAAAAAAATAACTTATAGTTTCA